TGCATGATTCTACAGAATTTGAGAAAATAATCATCAACTCCTTTTTCATTAATCACCAACCATATCCACCACGAATTAAAATAATTTGATCATCATTAACAAGTTGAAAATACTAAAGACATATACACCAAACGTCGAACCTAAAAATGATTTAGAAGTTGCATTTCATACCCACGAGACATCTACATATATATTGGCATTATTGAAGCTGTGACCCTACTTTTCCCAGAAAACCAAATATTTTTATTCAGGGACGGTGGAGAGTTCCCTGATTTCGATCCTTTTTTGGTTCAACTTACCTACAAAAGAGATCTTTTCTTTCCTGTTTTTAACATTGTTAATTAATTAATTGATTGATTAATTGATTCATCAATATTTCATAATTTTAAGGAAAAAAAAAAAAAAACACACAAATTGGTGTTGGGTGGAAACGGAACATTTTTAGATTGATTAAGATACTAGTGTATTTATACATCAATGAATGGAACATCTAGTTTCAATTGTTTTTGTCCCCATTTTCTATAATAAAAAGGGTGGTGCCATTGAGACAATTTTTTTGTCTCACAATTTTATATAATTTTTACATGTTATTAAATGAATGGATGTATTCAATATCATGGATTCCACATGAATTAAAAGAATCAATCATTTTAATGATATGTCAAGTTATATATATAAAAAAAAAAAGACAAAATGATTGTCCCAATAATATTTTCCTAATAAAAAACATTATATTAACTGCAAATTCGCTAATTAATTATCCGTGTTGTCTTTCATTATAAGTGCATTAGAGAAGTTTTCTAAGCTAGAAGTACTAGGTTAGAGGGTTTTCTTTTTTCATTTTTCTTTTTTTTTTTTCCTTTTTTAAATCTTGAGACTAGAAAAAGAATAAAAAAGAATAGAAATATGAGAAATGGAGCACGTACTATTTCTCAGGACATTCTATATAAAAATCTAAATGAACTAAAATATACAGTACTCTGATATGAACCTAAGTAAATCCTAAAATTGCTTCAATTAGAGGAGTAGAATAACCACGCAGACTATCAGAGTCAATTCTTTTTATAAAAGAGAGTAAGAATAAATTTTTAGAAAGATGAGATTGCCAGAGTCGATTCAAAAAAGGGTATATCCTCCATACTCTATTATCTCGAAAGTTACAATTTTATTGTTTATAGTTTTATATGACAGAACAATTAAAATCTAAGGCGGAGAATGTCCTGAACAATGGCGGAACAATAAAATCTAAAAATGGAGATCAAGCATGGAAAGCGAGAAAAAGAGGGGAAGGGAGAGGGTGGAGTGCCTATTACGATTTTTTTTTTTATATTGATTACATAAGGGAAATAATTATTTTTAATTCCTTATCCTACCTCACCCGTATGTCATAGGATTTAAATTCAAAATCTATTATTTTCAATAAAATAAAATTACCATTGAACTATTTAAATTGTTGACATCTATTACGAACTTCTAAACTTTTATTTTAATAAAAGGTCTTGCATATAAAATTTTTATAAATTGAATAGTGTAATTTGAATATCTATCTTTAGTA